CAGAGATCTGAACAATGGGAAACGCTCGTTTTGTCATTCTAAGACTATATTAAAATCATGCAACAATTCAGGTCTTGTGGTTTGTCAGCTGCTTTAACAGATTCTGCTACTTCTTCCAAAATTGTGGGCATTTTCAGGAAGCTGCCTACTTAGCTGAGCGAGGGTGCCTCTGACAGCACTTATTTCATTTGAAATGCATGGTGTTTCCTTGCAGCAGTGCCAGCTGTTTTGCTCAATCTGTTGCAGAGCCCAGAACAGCCTGTGACTGCTCTGGGCAGGAGGGTGTCCTGCCCGTGCCTGGGGAAGTGCCTGTGGTGCAGCTTGCTCAGCAGAGCTTGGTGTGTGCACATCTGTGAACTCAACACCCCAGTGGTGCAGGAGGAGGCCGTGGCCCCTACACTCATCTGATTCATTTATCTCCTGCCTTCGAGGCTGACTTTAAGAACCAAATTTTCCCTGCGTGTTCGAGAAATGACCTGCAGCATCCTCTGGTTGTTCTGGTGATGGGGAAGCTGCCATGTGAGGCCTGTGGCTGTGCTTATGGTCTCTGCAAGGACTCTGCTCCTCACCACGCCAGAGCCCCCCTTCATACTTGAGATTTCCGAGCTGTCCCAGGGGAGGCTGAGGCTGGAAGGCAGCTCAGAGGCGAGAGCTGAGGGCAGGAAGTGACTCAGTGGTGCTTGGAGCAGGCGGGTGAAGGCTTGATGCAACACAGCTCCCGAGGGTGCCCTGTGCAGGCTGGGTCACCCTGAAGGAACGCTGGGCAGCTCTGCCCAGCTGCCTCCAGCTCTCCTCTAACAGCACCAGAGATGGTCTTCCACCTGCACCAGGTATGGAGCAGTGCTGGTGGGTTTGGGAGCAGAGCAACAGGGTACAGACAGGCAGCAGCATGAGGAGGTACAACCAAACACCCACAGCACCCCAGAGAGCTGGCCCTCCAGCCCCCAAGAGTGCCAGAACATGCAGTGACCCTGCGCAGAAGAGGTGTCAGGAAACACAGAATGAAAACACTCCCAGTGTAATGGAGGGGCTGGAGCTGTTCCTCAGAACAAGCAGCTGGTTTCCCTTTTAGGGTCGGCAGCAGGCAGAAACAATTTCATGCAGATTCCAGGACCCATAAAGGTTCTGGAAAGGCAACAGGAATAAAAAGTGTTCTTCTCCTCTGCTGACCTTGGAGTGCTTTGAGGACTGTCTTCCAAAGCCGTGTCCCTGAACGGTTTCATCCTTACATGGGGAATACTCGCCTGCCCCAGCAAGGCTGTGCTTTTTCCTCTGCATGTCTGTTTAGGTGTGAACTGCTTGTAGCTGTGCTCAGGCAGCCCCAGGGAGGTGAGAATAGGCAGGGACCTGACAGGCAGTCAAAAGCAGGTTTATTCCTGTGTCTTGGAAAGATTAAGTGTTTCCCTAGGAATAGCCTAATGGGTTGCTCTAGGATGACTCTGTGGAGCAGCTGGTTGCGACCTGACAACAAACTGGTGTGAAGTTACACGAGGTTGGAGATTCACCACACACGCATGACTCCGCACTGAAGGAGTTGGTTGTATCAGGAACCATCTGAAAAGGCCAGGTAAACTCTTCAGTGATTGCGTGGAGCAGAAAGCTGGGCCCTGGACTGTCTGTACTGCCTCCTTTGCAAAACAAATCCCCGGTTTACCAGCACTAAAATTAATGTAATGATCTCCTGGGGCTCTTGCTAAGCCTCAGCCATCGGCTATGGACTGGGGTGTCATTTGGGTGCATGTCACTCTCTAATTAGAAAGTGGACTTTGATGTGCGTCCTTGACAAATTGCTGACCTTTCCCATACATGAGGCTATTCTGAGCTCTGCTTCAGACTGATCAGATTTGCATCCTGGAGCACTTTGAATGTTGTTTGTGAGTGGAGCTCTTGTTCCCAAAGCTGTTTGTTCATGGGCACAGGAGAGGAACTGAACTTTCTTTGCTCCATGAGCACAACTATATCTGTCAGAGGGTAAGAGTAGGCAGCTGGCAGGCACATATCTGTGTTTATTTTTGCCCTCCAACAGCCAGCAAGACAGCTGAGGAATACCCCACATCCAGTTCCACCATCCCTGTGTACAAGGGACCTGCTTCAGCAGACCTCATCCCCCAGGACCACAGCCATCTGGCAATGGCCAAACACTCTATTTGCAACTGCAAGCTCATCATTTTAGGGCAGCACCTTGGTTAGCATTTGAAGGCGTTCCTGACATCAGCCCAGCGTACAGCTGATGTTTACAGGGTGGTGCAGGATGAGCACGTGTTCGTTGGCACTACAGCGACAAGCTGTATTGTACCTTCTACATCTGAGCCTCTGTTAAAGGGGTTTTTAATGCATTTTAAAACTCCACCTCTTTCCTTCACGAATGGAAGCGACTTCCAGGTTCCTTGTTACAATCACAGTAAGAATTGCGGGCTTTTGTACTATTTCTTTTCCTTCATTTCTTTTGTGCCCCCTTCCTCTTCCCGGTGCGCTGAGTCTTGCAGTGCCACATCCATAGGGGCAACGATGCTGCATTTGCTTTGGCGCTGCCCAGGGCTTTGACACCCCTGCCCAGCACCACATGTGAGGCCAGAACAAAGGGAGCAAACAGCTTATCTAATACAAATAACCCTGAGCAAACTTCCTGGGCCTGTTCTTGTTCTGTGGAAAAGGCAGCGCAAAGTCTGCTCCCATGTGTGCTCACCACAGCCTTGGCCACATGAGGCTGCTGGGCCTGGCTTTGCTGCAGCCCGGGCATCTGCCAGCCCAGCCCTCTCCTGGGGCAGCCTGGGGAGCAGCACTCAGCTCCTAGCATGCAGCAGGCATACAGAGACTTTGTGGAGAAACTACTCAGAGTGGAGGCAAGCCCAATCTACTGCTTTAGCGTCCTCTTCGTTCTCAGAGGGTTTATGTTTTCTTCCTCTTCTGACAGTGTCAGGTCAGGAGAGCAGTGCTCAGAAAGCTGAGTCCCTGTCACTGGTAAAACCCCAACCTTCTCCATTCAGGTTGCTTTTCCTTCCGTTGTGTTTTCTGATGTCCTCTGAGCCCGTGTGACAGGACCACAGAGCTAAAGCACAGCCCACTGAGCAAACATGGAAGCTGCCTGCACTGGCGGTGCCACAGCTCCTAGGGCAGGAGTGGCCCTTCTATTAAAGACACACCTTGGAAAGTTTCCTTCACCAGGGCTGGGAGGAGGAGGAGGAGAGTTGGGAATTTCATTTCGTTCTTTGCCAGAGAGAAAGGTCCCAGGTGGCTTCAGGGAGCGAAGGCAAGTGGAACGGGAGAGGAGGCAGCAGTGGGTGAGAAGCAGCCAGGAGCTGTGTGGGGGGCATGAGAGCTGCTGCCTGGTTAGGGGAGCACCTCATGGGGTGCCCCAGAGGGAAGGGACAGTAGGGGAGCCAGCCCAGGCTGGGAGCAGAGCTGGGGCAGCAGGTCCAGTTCAGCACCCTAGCACCCGTCTGGCTTTGCTGTGCAAACCATCCTGTGCCTGCCTCGCCTCCAGTAATAGACTGGACATTGCCTTGTTCTGCAGGCAGCACGTGGGGCTGCCAGTCGGGGCTCTGGGGAGGCTTTGGTGGCCTCAGCCCGTGCTGCTCACAGGGACCCTCCGCAGAGCTGGTCCCACAGCCACGTGTGCTGGCCACGCTGGAGGGCACTGGGCGGGCAGTGTCGGGGCGGCAGCTGGGAACCAGTGTCTGAAAAGGGACTTTGTTCCCCCTCAGTTGGTCACGTAGCCATGTGGGAACACTGGATTTATTCTCCGGCAGTCCTATCGGCACATACCAGGATTGACAACAGCTGGGAGCTGTGTGGCTTGACCAAGAATAGCCCTAGGGAGCTCAGGGCTGTGAGTCAGAGCTGTCTGGATCGGCTCCTGCCCTGGAGGCTGCCTCCCAGCCTATGGCCAGGGAGCCTGTGGGGAGGGGGAACGGGGGCTGACAGGGAGCTCCCTGCCCCTTAAATGCTGATCTGCAGATGGAGCCATAATTGCTCTTTCTGAAGTGGGTGGGTTCATGAAGAACACTGCAGTGTGGGTGCTCTGCAGCTGATGGCTCAGATGTAATTCCATGGGCTTGTCTACACTTGACAGCAACCTGGGTTAAAGAAGGCTGTGATTTTGCAAGTGGAAAACTCCATATATAGGAATAACCAGGTTAAACAGGAGGAAGGTACTGTTGTTCTGGAGTTAGTGCTCCAAAGAAAGCAAAACAGTTCCACAAACCTGTTGTCTGTGAGGGAGGCAAGGGGCAGGGAGAGATGTCTGGTCTTTCGCATGCAAAGCCCCAACAGCTCTATTGCTTGTGGAACATGCACCTGCCCTGACAGCTTCTCCCTGGGGAGCGTTTGTAGCTGGAGCTGGTTTGCTGGGATGAGGCTCTATAGCCAGGCACAGTGTGGGGTGCCCGATTCCTGCTTCCCTGTGGAGCAGCTGCTTTAAAGCTCTGGAGAAGTTCCAGGGTTTGAGCCACTGGCAGCTCCTCAGGGAGAGCTTGCAGCCACTGGGAGGAATCCTGGCATGAGCCATGCTGGGGACTGAGCGTGGCTTTCCGAAGGGCGGCTGGGCAGACAGATCTCCCTCAGAGTGCCTGGCTCTCTGACGTGGCAGTGGACATGCACCCACATGGCATGTGCATGGTCTTGGTTTTGATGCCTTTTAAAACTTTTCACGCAAAAAATTTCTCCCTTTTGGTCCTTATTTACACTTTGCTTCCCAGGATAACAGTGAGGAGCTCAGCTCCGTGCTGACATGTCCAGGTTTTCTGAGCGCTGCTGAAGTGCTTCAGCTGTGAAGTATAAACCTGAGACAAGGCTCATTGCAGGCCCTGATGTCTGCAGCTCTTTGGGAAGGTTATGCAGCCCCAGAGCAGGAGCACAGTGCAAGTCTGTGCCCTTTCCTGATGGTGGCTGTTGGCTCAGTGCAGGGACTCGTGGTCCTTGCTCTCTGGAGGTGGCAGGGTGGCACAGGGACATCTCAGGCAGTGTAAACTGATACTGACCCACACCTGCCCTGATCTCAGCAGGTGAAGGAGGCCCTCAGACCGGCACCATGACAGAGTGCTTTGACTGTGACAACTGCAAGGAGTCCTTGTATGGACGCAAGTACATCCAGATGGACAACGGCCCGTACTGCATCCCGTGCTATGACGCCCACTTTGCCAACACCTGCGACGAGTGCAAAGAGCTGATTGGCCACGACTGCAGGGTGAGTACAGGGCCCCCAGCCAGGCAGGTCGGTTCCCAGGGCTCTCGGTCCCCTCCTCACCCCGCTGTGCTCCCAGGAGCTGTACTACGAGGATCGCCATTACCACGAGCACTGCTTCCGCTGCTTCCGCTGCGACCGCTCCCTGGCCGACGAGCCCTTCACCTGCCAGGGCGAGGAGCTGCTGTGCAACGACTGCTACTGCAGCGAGTTCTCCTCCAAGTGCATCGCCTGCGAGAAGACTGTCATGCCAGGTAGGAGTGGGCAAACTCGAGCACTGCGGTCCATTCCTGGTCCCTTGGTGCCGGCTGGGGCTGCAGGTCCAGCACAAGAGCAGAGAGGAAGAGAGCTAAATCTCTGCTCTCCTGCCTTCCTGTTACTGCACACAGAGGGCTGGGCCCTTTGCTTGTCCAGCAAGACAGCAGGATTCAAAGCTGCAATTGCCACAGCAGTCCCATCTCTCTGCTACCCTTTTTCATGGGAAAGTGAATGGGGGAGGAGATAACTAAGGGTTTCCTGGGCATTTTCTGCTGTGTGCTGATGAGAAGGAATGACTGAAGGTGCGTGAGCGTCTCTGGAGATGGCCTGAAGCAAAGGCATGTGTCTTTGCGTGGCCATTCTGGCACCATCTTCAAATATGGGTTACATCAGGCATTTCTGCCATGGCCTGTGTGCAGGGGCGGGTGTTCCCACAGCCCCCCTTGTGGCTGGGGTGTGGGCCCGGGGCCCCCCTCTCCAGCTGCCCGTGGTTCTGAACTGCCATGGCGAGGGCAGGCACAGAGCCGGGTGTCCCAGACCACCTTTCATCCTGCCCAGCCCTCCGTGTCCCCCGTGTGTGTGTGTGCTGCTCCCTTCTGTCACCGCAGGGCTCTCTCTGCAGGGTCACGGAAGCTGGAGTACAACGGACAGACCTGGCACGAGCATTGCTTCATATGCAGCAGCTGCCAGCAGCCCATTGGGTCACGGTCCTTCATCCCAGACAAGAAGGATTATTACTGTGTGCCCTGTTACGAGAGCAAGTTCGCTCCTCGTTGCACTCGTTGCAAAAAGGTGCGTACAGCCTGACAGCCCAGAGCCCCAGTTCTGATCCAGGGACAGGGAACTCCCCACTCCTGCCTGAGCCCCACCAGAGGAGGGTTCAGGTGCCAGCACCCCAGTTGGGCTGTTTCTCTGTGCCTGTGTGTCACCAGCATGCACTCTTTCTTCCCTGCAGACCCTGACCAAGGGAGGAGTGACCTACCGGGACGAGCCCTGGCACAAGGAGTGCTTTGTCTGCACAGGCTGCAAGACCCCCTTGGCTGGGCAGCAATTCACCTCCCAGGATGACAACCCGTACTGCATCAAGTGCTTTGGGAACCTCTATGCCAAGAAGTGCAGTGCCTGCACAAAGCCCATCACAGGTGAGCAGAGCAGCTCTCTGAGGAACCCCGTGAGGGGGGAGCTCTTTGTTGCAGTGCTCCTGGGGCCACTTGTTTCCCTTTGTCTGCATCTTTCAAAGTGGTGAGCTGTGTCCCATTGGAGGAATTCCCTCTGCCCACAGGTAAAGGCTCCCAAAGTGACCCCTCAAAGCACTGTCTCATGTCTCTAGCTTGCCTTGTTTGATATTGGTTGCCATGTCCTGTGGAAAGGTTGCTCACAGATCAGGAAAGCCAGGGACTTCCAGCCGTAGCTGGAGCAGCACCTGGTGCGGGGGAGTCTGGACCTGCCATACCTGCCTAAGGCAGGGGAAGTAGAGGATCCTCTCCTGCAGAACCCCCTAAGAGAGTCTGGCCTCATTCCTGCCCTTCCCCACTTGACCTTCCCCCTTGTAACTCCCAGTCTGTTGCTGCTGGGAAGGCAGGAGAAGCCATGAATCAGCTGGTGACTCAGAGGATGATTCTGGCTGCGGGCAGGTCCCAAGCACCCAGTGTGAAGACCTGACCCAGAGATGAACAGGCGAGGGCTCAGTCTGTGGGGAAAGCTCGGCCCAGTTTCCCCAGGGGCTCTGACGCTGCTCTCTTTGTCCCTCCTGCAGGCTTTGGTGGCGGCAAATATGTCTCCTTTGAGGACCGTCACTGGCACCACAACTGCTTCAACTGTGCCCGCTGCAGCACCTCGCTGGTGGGGAAAGGCTTCATCCCTGACAAAGATGAGATCCTGTGCCGTGACTGCAGCAGTGACCTATGAGTCTCCAAGGACACCGCGGGGCAGGGCTTCCTCTGTTCTTCAGGGCCTCTGTGCCAGATCCCCCAGCAGCATTTCAGGGGCCAGGCACGAGGCACAGGAGATTGGGGCTTGGCCCCGAACCGCGGTGTGTTCAGGGGGTTCCTGTGCCCCCTCCCTGAAGGCTAGAGTACGCTATGCTATGGCTCTGTGCAGAGTCAAAGCTAAATAAAATTGAAAAAGGAGCTTCAAGACCCCCCATTAGTTACTCTTTCTTTTTGCTTCCAGTCTGACCAGGCACGAGCTGAGCCCAGGGCCCCAGCTGAGTAAAGGGCAGCTTCTGCACTGGGCTGCTGGATCTGCACGCTGGCAGCACGTCTTTGCCCCCCAGCACGGTGCTGACTTCCCTCTTTTCCCCATGTGGTTCTCTCGCTCTGTGTGACGTGAGGCAGTGGCTGCAGGGCCGTGCAGCTCAGCTGTGCTGGGTTAGGGGTGTAACCACCACCACCATATGCATGGCTGACCTGGGCATGAAGGGTCCTCTGCTCCATTTGGAAGGACTGGGGATGCCAGGCTGGAGTGTTGCCAGGAGAAGAGCATGTTTGTCCTGCCAGATGGGATCCACCTCTGGAATTCTATAGCACCTCACCGTTTGCAGGCAAGACCCTTTGCTCATGTCTCTGTAGAGGTGCTCTCTCAGCTGTGAATGAGGAGCTCAAGTTCCTCATAGGTACAGGGTGTTCGGTCCACCTCCACCTCCCTGCCCCTTTCCCATCCACCCGTGCAGCCTCCCATGGCAGAGCTGGAGCTAGGGCTTTTGGCCTGCTGCTGCTCCCCTGAGAAGGGTGTGCTGAAGGCTGAGAGCACTGAGGGCTTTATTCCTCCTCTGTCCTTCTCACGGGGATCCATGGCATGGGCACTGCTGTACGGAGCCCAGCTGCCTGTGGCACTGGGAACACCAGAGACCTTTGTTAATTCAGGGAGGGGAGTGTTGCCCACAGGCTTTGGCTGTTCTTGGGAGCTGCTGGGAGTGCTAGGAGGGAGGGTCTGTGGGAGCACAGGGCTCCAGCATGGAGGGCAGCCGAGGGGGCAGTGGGGTGCCCACAACCTGCTCCTGCCAGGGCTGCCTGTGTCCCCCTGCAGTGGGCAGGGAGTGGAGGCTCCCCCCGGCCACACTCACTGTGTCCCAAATGAGAAGCAAAGCAAAGGTGGCACCTGAGGGGGGGCTTTGCAGAGCCCAGGTCCCTGTGCTGGTCCTAACTGTGCAAAATCCTTGCCCAATGACTGAGCTGGCCCTGGGCCCCACTCAGGCCCTTCTGCAGTAGGATGCCCATGCCTGCCTTGTCTCTACATCCTTCTGCTTCTATCTTGCTGGGGCACTTACACTGACCCTGCTTTCCTGCTTATCAGCCATGTGCTTTTCTGAAAGCCTGTTCTTGTGGGGTTTTTCCCTTTTGTACTCATTTGTCATGAATATCTGTCATTTTGTACCCAACTACAGGATGAAGGGGCTAGCCCCCCACCCAGGCTTCACTTAGGAACAGAAAATGTTATGCATGTTGAAGTGTTATTAACTTTGTATTCAGATCCTTGTTGAACCCTTGTTTGGAAGCTTTAATGCCAGTAAATTGGAGTTTGTGTGTTTGCTATCCTGAGGAGCTTGGAGCTGTCTTCAGAAGGAATTGCCTTAAACCTCAACCTTCTTTGTACTTCCTACAGCTTTATACAATAAACTGTTTTAGTGACACTTGCTCTCGTGTCTCTCAAACAGCAGGCACAGAGCAGAGCACTGTCTGAGTTGGTGCTGGGCTCTGCTCAGCCTTGTCTTGCCCCAAATCCCATCCTGGGGACAGCCAACCTCCACAGTGCTCGTGCCTCTCTTCCCAAACCTCAGCCCGGCATCAGCTGTACCAGTCCTGTGGTTATGGCAGAGGAGAACAGCAGCTCCCTCCTCCCGCCGTGGGGCTGCAGTGGGTTCCTGGGGCTGGGGCTGCCTGTCTGTCTGTGCCTGCTGTCTGTTCAGGCAGGCAGTTCTGCAGGACAGGCCCTAGCAGGACTTGGGCACTGCTTGATGATGCCTCAGTGCCCCCGGGCTGGATCCCGGCGGTACCGCCCGTGTCCCGTCGTGCAGAGGAGCCTCCCTGCCCTGTCCCTGCCCTGTCCCTGCCCTGTGCTGGGCACAGCCCGGGAATGTCGCTGGAGCCCTCAGCAGGGTGTCCATGGTCCCTCCTGGCAGCCTTCCCTGAACACTGTGTGCTTGTTACTTGCATTTATCAGCCCAGGAGCCATTTATTCCCTAACATATGAAACTATTTTCCACAGATTCCTGTACATTTACTAACAGCTGCCACGGCTTCCCCTGAGCTCGCCTGCCCTGTTCCCCTGGGCCCTGCTCGGGCCCCCTGCGCGGGGACAGGACGGGCACAGCCCGTGGGGCTCCACGTGGGCCTGTGGCACTGGCACATTCCTGGCTGCCTCAAAGGCTCCCGCTCTGGCAGCTGACAGAGTTTTTCAAGCAGGGTTTTTGTTGCTGTTCCTGCCCTGTGACCCACGCTGGGCTCTGGTGCTGCTGCGGGGCCTTGGAGGGTGAGTGAAACCCCAGCCCGAGGTTCCCGGCTGAGCCCTCCAGCGGCAGCAGCACAGCCCGGGGTTCCTGCAGCGCCCTTTCCAGGGATTAACCACAAAAGGTTTCTGTACAAAGGGCCCCCGGGCTCCTCTTTCAGTCAGCCTCCAGAGCCTCACGTTTTTAGCCAAAAAAGGAAATGACCCAGCTGCACACAGCGCTGGAACATCTGGATTTTATCCCTGTCATGAATGGGTCATGGCTGTGCACAGCCCAGCGCCTGATTTACAGGAGGGGGAGGGTGATGTCATGCACAAACATCCCCCGAGACTCCCGAGTGCAGGTCTGAAACAGTCGTGGAAATTTTATTAAGCACAAGGAGCAATGCAAGGGGGTTGGGCTGGGGCTGCTGCGCTGGGGAGGGAGGAGTGGAGGAGCTGCTGGGGGTGCAGGGGCAGCACTGGGGGTGCAGGGGCAGCACTTGGGGCACAGGGCAGCACTGGGGGTGCAGAAACAGGCCCCGGCATTCACCAAATGTGCCCGAGCTGTGCTGTCCTGCACCACCGTTGCAGGTCAGCCCCTATGGGCAGAACCAGGTCCAAGCCACCACCTGGGGGTCCTGGGCAGGGCCAAGAGTTGGACTTTGATGATCCTTGTGGGTCCCTTCCAGCTCGGGATATTCTGTGATTCCATGTATTTCAGCTCCCAGCCCCTGCGGTTGCCCCAGGATGGAATGGCACCTCCTGGACCAACCCTCTCCCGCTCCCTCCCAGGTGTGCTGCCATTCCTGGGGGAGGAGGAGGAGGAGGAAGGCCACACGGGGGTTGTCCCACCTTGACCCTCCTGATGCCAGCAGCCCATAATAAGGAGGTCATGTGGCTGGATGGGACATTACTGGATTTCAACTCCTTCCCTTTCCACGGATGAAGTTTCATGCAAAGGGAAATGGAAGAACACTAAGTTCAGAACCTTATCTCTGCTTTTTATTTTTAGACAGGCATTCATGAGGAAGCAGTGATGTACTTTGGGGCAGCTTGTAGTGGAAGGGGGTAATTAAAGACGGCATTCATCTTCTCAGTGAAGGATCATCTTTGCCATTAATTAAGACAAATTTTATTGTTGTTGCTTTTGGCTTAAAGTAATTTATCGCCCACGGCAGAAAAATATTAATAATTTATTGGCGAGTTAAAATTTAATTACAGCTTTGCATTCGGCAAAGCGCGGGCAAAGCCCGTGGTACCGCGGCGAGCCCGCGGCCCGACGGGGGCACCGGGGGGGCCGCGGCCGGAACCTTCGCGCGGGGCCGGAGCCTTCCGGCGGGCACACACGGGCCGCGCCAGGGCCTTCCGGCGGCGGCGGCGCGGGGCGGCGGCGCGATGGAGACGATCCTGGAGCAGCAGCGGCGCTACCACGAGGAGCGGGAGCGGCTCATGGACGTCATGGTGAAGGAGATGCTCACTAAGAAGTCCACGGTGCGCCCGGGGGAGGCCCCGCGGGGCCGCGGGGAGGGGGGCGGTGGCCGCCCGGGACCGCGCTCACCGCCCGCTTCTCTCCCGCTCCCCGCCCCTCTCTTCCCCGCAGCTCCGCGACCAGATCAACTCGGACCACCGGACCCGGGCCATGCAGGACGTGAGTGCAACGGGAGCGGGGGCGGGCCGGGCCCCCGGCGCCGAGCGGAGCCCGCCCAGGTAACGGGCCCTGCGGCGCTCGGGGCTTTCCCTTTGTCCCGCAGAGGTACATGGAGGTGAGCGGCAACCTGCGGGACCTGTACGACGACAAGGACGGGTGAGTGTGCCCGGGGGCCCCCGTGTGCCTGAGCGTGTCCTACCGGTGAGGAAATGGGGCGCCCTTTGAGTCCATGTAAACACCTGAGGAGTAACGCAGGAATCGGGATCCGGGGACCCAACGCAGGGCAGACTCCGAGTGCACACGGGACGGTTTGTTACTCCCGCGTTTCGTGTCGTGGGGAGGCTGTGGCTGCCCCGGGGATCTGTCAGGGGCTGCAACAGGGCAGGGGAACATGGCCCTAGGCCCCTGAGCTGGGTGGGCTGGGAGGTCCCACGGGAGTCGGAGGTTTGCAGTCAGACACTGCAGCACAGACCTGGACCAAGGCTGTGCCAGTGTCACCTTGTTTTCCCTGCCCCTGTCTCTGAACTCGTAGCCTGCGGAAGGAAGAGCTCAGTGCCATTTCTGGGCCAAATGAATTTGCAGAGTTTTACAACAGACTGAAGCAAATTAAGGAATTTCACCGGAAGCACCCAAATGAGGTGAGTAATTACCTCCTCCATAGCAGCAGGTGAGCTGGGGTCTGTTGGGCCTCATCCCTGCAGGAAACAGACCTTTTGTTTTCTCCAGTTTAATTCCCTTAACACACAGGTCCTGGGAACACCCAGCTGTCACCTGAGCAAAGCTGCTCAGGACCAGGCAGCGTGTGAGGGGGAGCAGTGCTGGTCACTCACAGTGTTCCTGCTTGGGAGCATCCTGCAGCTGGCCTGGGGTTGGGGCTCACTTTTCTCATGCTAGATAAAGACACACCTTTGTGCAGGACAGCTGAAAAAGTGCTTTGGGTTCCTTTTGTGTTCGCAGTTTCATTGTTTGCCACCTCCTGTGGTTTTATATTAGTTGTTCTGGGACAGGAGCTGAAGTAAATCACTGTGTGACTTGTGTCTGCCCCTGCAGATCTGTGTTCCCATGTCAGTGGAGTTTGAGGAGCTGCTGAAGGCCAGAGACAACCCGAGTGAAGAAGCTCAGAGTAAGTGTGTGGTTTGCTCGAGCTCTGGCATTATCTAATGGGTTGTTTGATCTGTTTTGCACATTTCAGGGCCCCACCTCCCTTTTATGAAACGACTTCTGAAAATTGTTCTTATTTCAGTTCTTCTGAACTGCAGTCCCTGGAATGTTCCCCAGTGGTGGTCTTGCTCCTGAGGAATGTTCTGGTGCTTGCACAGAACAGCAATTGGGGCTGATCAATGAGTGTCCAGGGCATTGTAATGCCTTCCTTAAGCATAAACGAGTTCACAGCTAATCCTTTTCCAGTTCTAAAGCAGTTGCATAATAAGTAGGAAATATTAAGCTCATAATAAAGTTCTTAATGATCTTTCCTACAGATCTGGTGGAGTTCACGGATGAGGAAGGGTACGGACGATACTTGGATCTGCACGATTGTTATCTCAAGTACATTAACCTGAAATCATCAGAGGTGAGTGCCTGCTGTGTCTGGGCACCTCCAGTGCTTGGTGTGGCAGGGTCTAGGGATCCCCAGGCCCTGCACGGGCTGGAGCTGCTCTGTTCTGGGACCTGGATGTTAATTTGGGTGTATATGAACTCTGACTCACAGTTTTTTTTTTTAGAAATTGGATTATATCACTTACTTATCCACATTCGACCAACTCTTTGATATTCCTAAGGAGAGAAAAAATGCTGAATATAAAAGGTGAGCCTGTTTGCCTGCTTCCTTTATGGCAGTTGGTGAGAAGGAATTTGCTTCTGAAGTGTTCAGCTGCTGAGATTATGATTAACTCCCATAAATCGGGTCCCTGAGCTCAGCTGTGTGTCTGAGCCCCAGGCAAAGACACAGTGCAGCAGAGATGTGGAGAGCCTCATTCTGCTCTGAGGAAGGGCCTGACTGTACCCTCCTAACTGCTGTGCCCAGAAATCCTGTGTGGAAAACTGTCCTGACCTCGGTCACCTCCCTCTGCAGCACTAGAGGGTAGTGACTGTCCAAAGATGTGGGTAGAGGGTGATAGTGAATTACCTGTGCTTGTGCTTCCCCTGCCAGGTACCTTGAAATGCTCCTGGAGTACCTGCAGGATTACACAGATCGAGTGAAACCGTTGCTGGACCAGAATGAACTTTTTGGGAAAATTCAGACGGAGTTTGAGAAGAAGTGGGAGAACGGCACGTTCCCGGGCTGGCCGGTGAGCAGCCTGAGCCTGGGAGATGTGCTGTGGTACTGAGGGGTTTCTGTGAGTCATTTGTGTAAAGTCATTGCTGGGGGTGACCCTGACCCGGTTGCAGCTCTGTGTCTCCAGGCTGCAGGGTGGGACTGACCTGAATGTGAAACCCAGCACAACTGGTTTGAAATGAACCTTGTTTCAGGTTGGTGCATATTGCATCTTTACTACTGTTCCATTTTCAGTTTAGTGAGGGGATTTTTCTCTGAGAAATGAACTGTTTTTCCTGAGGTTGAAATGCTCTATGGCCTGAAGCCTTGTGGGATGTCATGCAGCTCTTGCATGTGGTTTTCTTGGCAGAAAGAGACCAGCAGTGCCCTCACCCACGCCGGCGCCCACCTGGACCTCTCGGCCTTCTCCTCCTGGGAGGTGCGTTTCCAGTGTTCTGCACTTGCTACCACATTTGGAGCAGGTGGAAGCTCAGACATTTGGTTTCTTTGCATAATTTTAGTGCTTTCCTCCCTGGCTCTGTGCTTTCTGGGTAAAACTTCGATGATACTGATGATTTAATTTCTCCAATTGGGGGATGTAGCTTGAAAGACCTGGTTAGATTTGTCACATTCCTTATTTTCCAGTGAGGAGGGGTGCACCCTTGACAGTCCTTTATTGAATACTTTTCATCAGTATGAAAAGCTCTTCTTTAATGAGCTAAAATGGGCTACATCCATATTTTATGTGTTGAACAGATCATCTCTTACAGTGGTTTATTTAATTGAACAGGAATTGGCCTCCTTGGGACTGGACAGGTTAAAATCAGCTTTGCTGGCCCTGGGGCTGAAGTGTGGCGGGTAAGGTGCAGTCTTTGTAGAGTTCCTTTAAGTTTTTGAGGTCTTCCTGTCTCACGTTCCTTTCTGGGATACTTGTTTGGTCATCTCTGGTGTACTAGAATTACCTTAGTGATGTTTGAAAGGTAAAACATTAAGAACCAAGCAGTGGGTACTGGGATCTGCTGCTCTGACCAGGTCCTATACAGGAGTCTCTGATACAGAAGACTTTGGCTTGAGGAAGGAAGGCAAAGATAATAGGAATCTTTTGATCTCATAAAAGCTACATTTAGAATTTTGTTGCATGAATTCAAATAGTTCTTGGGAAATGTAAAACTATGGTCTGGACTGACCCCCTCCCTGCTTCTCTGTAGGACTCTGGAGGAGCGTGCTCAGAGGCTTTTTAGCACTAAAGGCAAATCCTTGGAAGCACTTGATCCTTCCTTGTTTGCTAAGAATCCAAAGACAAAAGGAAGCAAAAGGTGAGTTCTTAGAGATCATTCTGAGGCTGGTGGTGTTCTCTCCTCTTGGATGAGGGGTGTTCTATAGTGGCCACTCTTGTGTAGTTGTTACAGAGAGATTAGAAGCTTTTCATGTCAGACCAAATAGTGCTGAACCAAATGGAAGATATCAGAGCTGAACTTGTGAATTGCATAAAGTTACTCTTTCTATTTCTAGAGACACTGAAAGAAATAAAGATCTGGCGTTCCTGGAAGCTCAGATTTATGAGTATGTAGAAGTTCTTGGGGTAAGGATTTTATTTTTTCTTTGAGCTTTTTATTTCAGAGCTGTCAAATAGTGACTGGAAGGTCATCCACATCTTTACCCAGTGCTTTCACAGACAGCACCACATCAGTGTGGTGCATCACATCTATTTTGTGCCTAAGTCACACGGCATTGCAAACCTTTACTTGTTCAGCCTTGCTGCCTGCCTTTGGTGTGGGGTGATTGTTTTCAGCAGAGTGGCTGCTGCTGCTGCCTGTCACCTGGGAAGTGCTAACAGTGGTACAAGGTTTTTGTTTTTGGCAAGTAGGAAATGTCAGGGTACTAAAAACTGAAGTTGTTTGGCTGAGTAAGGTGGGAGTTCTGTGCTTCATACTGGTCTTCCATTCCCTCCCTCTGTACATTGAGGAAGTTTCTCACTGCAAGAGTTTGCCCCGACTTTGTTGCTGTCACAGTGTGTGGACATTGCCTTCTCTTCTCCAGGAACAGAGACACCTCACCCATGAGAACGTGCAGCGCAAGCAGGCGCGGACCGGGGAGGAGAGGGAGGAGGAGGAGGAAGAGCAGATCAGTGAGAGTGAGAGTGAAGATGAAGAAAATGAAATCATTTATAACCCTAAAAATCTGCCTCTTGGTTGGGATGGGAAGGTAACCGAGAGCATCAGGCCTGGAGGAGTGGGAGGGGTCACTGACTCCACGCTGCTCCCCTGTTTGAGCTGCTTTGCCACGCAACCTGATCCTTGTGTATCCTCATCCTCTTGTCTCCTCGCTTGCAGCCCATCCCCTACTGGCTGTATAAACTCCATGGTTTAAACATCAACTACAACTGTGAGATCTGTGGTAACTACACCTACCGAGGGCCCAAGGCGTTCCAGCGGCACTTTGCAGTAAGTGATGGTCACTGCAGGAACAGCCCTGCTGGGTTCATCCAGTCCTTGCAATGAGTCACCTGGGAGTCCCTGGGATCCCCAGGTAGCAATTCTGCCCCTTCTGACAGGGGGTCAGGGCCGTGCAGTGGGATCCATAGGTTGTGTAGGGCACCCCAAGATCTCTCCTGCTGATGCTGAACAGTCCCTGCTCATTTGAACCCTGTTTTGAGTGCCCAGGTCTGATGGTGCAGGGTGCCTCTTGATGGCTGCTGTCGTGTCACTGTCTACAGTACAGGAAAAAAATACTTTTATAGAAGCTTTTAGACTGGTAGATTTGTACTTTGGTAGTATTTGTTGCACCCTGTTCAGGTGTTAATGCCTCTGTGGTCTTTGGTGTTGTGGAGGACGTGTTGTTCCCTCTCATGCTGCCCTCTCATCTCTTCCCCCCCACCAGGAGTGGCGACATGCCCACGGGATGCGGTGCCTGGGCATTCCCAACACGGCACACTTTGCCAACGTCACACAGATCGAGGATGCAGTCTCGTGTAAGTAGTGATGGCAGAACAGGGAACGTGTGAGAGAACACCACCTTTTCTGAAGGGGTGGGTTTGGACATTGGTCTCGTGTCCCATCCTGAACTATCACTTTAAAGCCTTGTTTGCTGCAGTTCTGTGCCTTTCTGTAACCACACAGGAATTATAACTTTGTAATGGATGTTAGGTACATTCCTGGACTGCTGAAGTGTTTTAGAAGAAGGGGGGGAAAAAAGCTCACGTGTGTATTTTACTGGGTTAAAAACAAGTACCTCGAGGGAAATGGCATCAGATCCTGTTTGACTTTGTGTTTGCAGTGTGGGCAAAGCTGAAACAGCAGAAGGCTTCAGAGAGGTGGCAGCCCGATACAGAGGTGAGCAGTGAGAGGTGTTCAGTGCCTCCAGTCCTGTGTCCGTGGGACCCTCCCATTCCTGCTGGGAGCACTGTTCTTCCTTACGCTGGTGCCTTTTCCTAAGCTTCTGTCCCAAGCCATTTTTCAACAGTGGGAAATACAGCCTGTAATGACTCCAGCTCTGGATGAGCTCTTTCTCCCAGGACCTGCTGGCAGATCTGTTGCCTGTCTTTCTGGCAGGGTGCTCATGTGTAGTGGCTTCTGCTGGAGCTACAATTCAAAGGCTGTACCCAGTGTCTCTAAACTGTTGGTTTGGTTCCAGGAGGAATATGAAGATTCCAGCGGGAATGTCGTGAATAAAAAGACCTATGAGGACCTGAAGCGCCAAGGGCTGCTGTAGCTGCCCCCAGGTGAAGGATCCCACATCTGTGGAGTGAGTGGATGTGGCAGCAGCTCTGACTTCCTCAGTTTTTGGATTTTGTATGTGCATGAATATAGATTGAAATGATACTTTATAGAGTCACTTTCTAGTAAGCCCCTTGTGAAAAGCAGACTTGTGACATTGTTTTATATTAAAAAATACCTTGAAAAATAAACTCATGTTAATTTAGGAAGTGCCGAGAGACTCGTCTCCTTTCGTATGGTGGAAGGAAGAGGTTTTATTACGTGTTTAAAATGCTTTTTACCCAGTTAGAGCTGTCAGAAACAATTCTTTCTTTCACTCCCACTCTGATGGAAATGTTTATGGTGAGATTGACTCTGTGAAGCACATGGACTTGGACACAGTGCCAACAGGTAATGGTGCTGTTCTAGATCTGGCTGCGAGCGTGTGGTTTTCTTTGGGCTCCTTTGCAAAACAAACTCACCTGGCTTAAGGGCTGCTTTTACCTTGGGTCTGTCTCCCTGGGGAGCTTTGGCCACTATGTTTTTTCAGGGAATTACCAAGTGAGCTGGGTCAGCTTGGGCTGTGGGGACAGTGCATGGTGATTTCTCTGACGCTGCTGCTGGCTTGAAGGACCTGGTAGGTTCTTGTGCAGATCCTTCTGTGGTGCAGGAGGATGGAGATGGGAACAGATGATGCATTTAGAGGTGACTGCTGTGACTTCAGCACCCTTGGCCCCCAGTGCCATGCTTGGAGATGCCTGTACATACCCCACAGATTCGTGCTGTCTCAGGAATTGCAGGTCCATCGTGCAGAGGCCACACATGTCATATGTGACAGTGGCAGTCCTTGTGCCTCCCAGCCCCTCAGGTGCAGTGGTGGCTCATGTGACATCTCCAGCCTCATAAGCCCTTTCTCTGTTGCTGTGCAGGGCCATTTGCGTCTCTGCTGCTGTGGAGCCCCAGGGGACACTTCCCCTGGGTGGTGGCTGGCAGGGGTGGGGCTGGGCTGTGGGGCAGTGCCACAGCACCTGCTCAGAGGTTCTCCAGTGCTGGCAGCAGCTGCAGGTGCAGGAACAGGCAGACAGGTGAGTCAATGCCATGGGCTCTTCTCCTTCCCCGGGGGAAGGTTGTTCTCCTGGGATGAGGCCGGGTCATGTGGGTTCCTTGTTGGTTCCTTGCCTGCCCTGGCACTAGTGGTGCTGGGCTCAGGGATGTCCACAGCTGGTCTGAGTGGTGGCTGCCCTGGTTTGGAAGGTGAGAGGCACCAGCTGGCATTGTCTTCCCTGTCACTCTGAGCAAACGGCCTCGGAGGTCTCTGCACAAGCTTTGGCCACTCCAGGTCCTGGGGGAATGGTGACTCAGCCTAGATCATAAAACAGGAGGGGAGTGTTACAGTTCTTGGAGAACTTGGCTTTGGAGCCTGTTTGGATTCAAATCTGCTGTTTCCTTAGAAAAACAGGTAAAGATTTGGAATGAAAGTAGAGAAAGCAGAAGGGAGAGCCAGGCCACATCTTCACTTGAAGCGGCATCAGCAAACTGTTGTGTGGTGGCAGGTGTCACTGTGTCACCCTGCACCCTGCTCCCGCGCTGCCTGCAGGTCTGTGCTGAGGCCCAGGGAGGGTTGTTGCCACACCAACAGCACACGCAGCTCCCCGGGGCTCCCGTTCCCCGGCAGCGGCCTCAGTGAGTTTGGGGAGTCTCTCAGGAGGGAGCGACTGGTTGTCACTGGGGCTGAGCCCTGGAGGTAGAGCCCAGAGATGTGCTGGGGTGTCTGCCCCACACCTCGGGGGGCAGCTCTGACCGTGTCCTCCTGCCAGGTCCGGGTGCAGCCGTGGTGGATGACGATGGCCGGTCGCCGATGGCTCGTCCCGCCCGTTCAAGGTAACAGGGGCTCTGGTGCAGCACCCAGAGCATGTCCATCCCCCATCCTGGGTCTGTCCCTGCCCCAGCTGTCCCTCCCTGGGACAAGGGGTGGCCACTGGCCCCCTGGGGCTCTGGGAGGGTGGGGAGTATCCCTGCTCACCTGTTTCAAGGCTGCCTTGCTGCTGGGGAGGCTCTTTGGGCTGTAGAGCGGGCAGCAGATGTGGTGGTCTCAGCCATCCCCACTCCATTCCAGGCCTGCTGCTCTGCATCTTGGCTCTGCACATCCGTCTCCAGGACTCTCTTGCCCCAGCAGGTGAGCTCTGTACTCAAGGGAAATCTGTGGGCCTGTGGGAAGTGGGGCAAAGGCAGTGTGGTGCAATGGGGACTTTGTGCCTCTCACCCCCAAGCTGTGTTCTGTAGGACAGAGCTGCACTGAGGAACCTTTCCTTGAAGTTTTGCCCCAGCAAAAGCCTGTTCTTCCCAGGCAGCATGGCTGGAAGGGGGGGAGAGAGGCTATTGTAACATCTGTCCATCGTGCTGTTGCAGGGGGCTGCTGGCTCTGACCTGGTTCTTGAGCTGCCCAGTCAGTAGCTGCAAACAGACTCTGTTTGGGACATCCTGTCACTGACTGCCATCCACCTCCCAACCACAGTGGCACAGATGCTTCCCACAGGTCCTGCTGTGGCTCAGGACGGGACACTGGGCTTGCTGACGGTGTTTTCCCTTGTTTCCTTCACCAAAGGGGAACTTTGTGTCTTTCAGAGCACAACAGAGTTGCCAACAGCACAGTGGTGGCTGCCAAGAATGCCTTGTCGGTTGCTGAGGCCACCAAGAGGGCCTCAGTGGTGACCACAGCTGTCAAGAACACCACCAAGGATGCTGCAGTGGTGGCCACCACCAAGAATGCCTCAGAGGTGGCCACCAAGAATGCCTCAGAGGTGGCCACCAAGAATGCTGCAGTGGTGGCTACCACCAAGAATGCCTCAGAGGTGGCCACCAAGAATGCTGCAGTGGTGGCTACCACCAAGGATGCCCCAGAGGTGGCCACCACCAAGGATGCCCCAGA